ATTAAATTGTTAAAAAATTATAATAAGAGGTCTCTATATCCATAGCAGGTTTATAACAGATCCATCCATTAAATTAACATTTATTTAGTCTTCGTTATACATAGAGAGCTGGAGAAAACACCCTTTGTCCTCAAGGAGCTCTTATTCTTATAGGAAGACATAGTTAAGTGTTAGCTGTATATATCATTTAATTGTATAGTATGCAATCACATGGAACTGTATTATATTACATAATTCATTAAAAGCTAGGGAGCCCTCTATGTTAATGTGTATTATATTTATGCACACACAGTAGAATTCGTTCATCAAAAAAGTAGGCGTCCTCTCAAGATGGGGAAGTAGATGGTCTCGGTTTCAGGAGAGACTGCTATCTAAGGTTGGGAAGCGGTCCAGGCAGAAGTCAGCCCAGTGGCTACACAGGCTGCAGGAAGATGCGGGAGCAGATGGCTGAGGCCCCTGGGGCGGGGGGAGCAGGGGCTAGGGCTGAGCTTCCAATTAGAGATTCCCTGGAGGTCTGGTCTGTCCCCCTTCACATCAGGTCAATTTGAAAACCTTATTTTTTCCTCAAGAGAGAGCAGGAGATACTGCCCAGGGAGGAACGGGGAATGCTGACAAAAGTGAGGCAAGCAACTGCATGGGATGAGGAAGCGTCTCCTTGGGGTCATCTTTAGCACAGAACCCCTGAGAGACATTAAGCCCAGGGGGTCCAGCTGAGAGGTCCTGAGCTGAAGACTGAAACAGGCACAGGAGGCACTTGTGTGGTGGGCAGCTAGCTGGGCTGGTGCAGAGCAGGGACAATGGGCCAGGTACTGAGGGCCACCAAGGTGAGAGCGCCAGGTGCAATGGGCTGCGACCTCACCCCCAGGGTGGCCTTTCCTCCCTGGGCATGAAGTTTTTGCCCCTGACCTTTCATATCACTAGTCATGCTGCAGACCCCCTCGATGAAGAACACGGAGGCCAAAGAACAGCTTCATAGGCTCCCACATAAGCCCTTGCACAACCACTCCCTTAAGCATTAAGTCCTAGAGATCACATCTAGGCCTCAGTGTTTCAGCTCCAGGCCTAGAAAAGCAGCAAAGCCAGGAGGGCAATGCCATGGCTGACGTCAAGACCAGCTTTGATGACTGACCCTGCCCTGTGCCCACCTATCAGTACAGACCACGACCCTAAAGGACACACCTGGAAAGCTGGTGAATAATTTATTGAGACCCTCCCCTGAGACCTCCAGAACCCCACCCTCCCCCCCCCCCCCAGGATGGAGGGCCCAGTGTTCTCTCTCTCTGAGCGCACCTGTACTTTCCCCCTCTCCTTTCCCCAGGCGAGTTCTCTCTGCCTTTCTTTTCCTAAGCTCCAAGGGCCCTCCTTTTGCCTCTGTATCTTGTTTCCTGAGCCCATGCAGCCTGGCTGGCTCAACTTTTCCACCTCTGTGATTTTCTAAACAAAATTTTGCTTGTATTTGAGTCTTGACTCTGAATTCTTTCTTAGCCAGAACTGAAGTACTGAGGTTGCTGAACCGAGGTCCAATTGCTAGTAACATTCTAAGCAGTGCCACCGCTAACACTTGGTCTAAGAATGTCCAATGCATCTCAAAGCAGCAGGGACAGCATCCAGCAGCCACAGGCCTCCCTGCGTGCAGGCTGCGTTCGAGCTGCACCCCACCAGTAGCTGAGGAGGGGCTCAGGGCTTGCACAGGGCCCAGGGTGAATATCCACAGCCCAGATTTTTAAAAAAGAAACTGAGGTGCAGGGAAGTTAAATAATTCACCTGAGGTAAAATCTCAGTGAGTCTAAGACCACACCTGGCCATGCATGCCGAATTGATCTAGCATCTGTTTCCAATATCTTGCTGTGAATAAGCATGACGAGGTTTGGGACACATTACCCCCAAATATGGCACTTACCAGATTGAATGTTGTAACTGAGGAATTTGAGAAATGACAGGTACAGGAAGGACTTCCTGACCTCCCCCTGCAGCACCCCGCCCAGAGGAGAGGAGCGTCTGTATCTCTGAGGATGGAGGGAGTCCAAAGGAGTCGGAGTAAACAGGCTCCCACGTCCCTCAGTTTACACGCTCAGCTCAGCCCTGTGTTCTATGGAGCTTCCCACGACTTCCTGCTTCCTATCCAGCCCAGCACAGAAGTGCTCAGGTTGAGCATTTGAGTCTTCATTTCCTAATGAGGGCTCCAGGGTCATGTAAAACGTGTATTACATACACATGTCAGCCTTTCTCTTGTTAATCTGCCCTTTGTTACAGAGACCCAGCCAAGAACCAGGACGGGCAGGAGGAGGAACCACTTTCCTCTCCACAAGCATCCTGTTTAAAGGTGATACTTCCACGCGCAAGCCCTGCGATCTGCCCTGGGCTCCCAGGTGGGGTCCCAGTCCCAGCCCTGTGGCCGTGGGACAGAGCAGAACTCCTCTCTCTCTGCGGAACTTTAAACCACTGACGACAGAGTTGGTTGGACTGATGGCTAAGACTTTTACTTTTCTGCACCTGGAGGCCCAATCTTTTTTTTTTAAAATATATTTTATTGATTTTTTACAGAGAGGAAGGGAAAGGGATAGAGAGTTAGAAACATGGATGAGAGAGAAACATCCATCAGCTGTCTCCTGCACAACTCCTACTGGGGATGTGCCCGCAACCAAGGTACATGCGCTTGACCGGAATCAAACCTGGGACCTTTCAGTCCGCAGGCCCATGCTCTATCCACTGAGCCAAACCGGTTACGGCTGGAGGCGCAATCTTTGATCTCCCGTCTCCTGCAGTCCCATCTACCCCAGACTGCCCCCCCCCAACCGCCCCCCAGTCCTAGGTGCTTTCCCTGCCAGGGCTCCAGGCAAGGCCTGTGGTCCAGCCTCCAGCACCACAGGCTCCAGCTTCCCTGGGACACAGTCACACACAGCGTCTGTTCCACTTGGGCATCCAGCTTTAGTTCTTCCACTTTTCGCTAAGTAATGGAAACTGACTCCATCCCCCAAATCGGAGCCCTTCGGCAGGCTGCAAGTTGAGAAAAACATGTACTTTGGACCAAGGGTCTCTTTAAAAAATTGTTTCTAAATCATTTCTCCCGGCCCCACAGCCTTCCTTAAAGCCTCCCATTTTCTCCTTGTGTCTGTGATGGAAGGAGCGTCAAAGGCAACAGGTGCACCCTCTTTCCCCCAAATCCCATGGGAACAGAGCTGCTGGTGCTGGAATGGAAGACAAAGGGACTGATCTGTGCTTGGTTCTGGTCCCACCATGGGCAGGCTGCCCATCAAACACAGACCTGCTTCAGGCCTGCCCCACTGCTTGTCCATCTCCCTTCTTTATTGTCAAACCCCAGTGTCAATACAGAATTAAAGCTGAGTGGATAGAAAACAGGGGGTTAGACAGGTCTTCTTATCGAGTTTTATCTCTACCTCCTCCCCTCCCTCACAACCCCCTCTCCCCTCTCTTCCCTTCCTAGTTTACTTGTTGGTCCACTCTCCCTCCTGCTCCCCTGAAGGTCACTCACAGCTCCCTGGCCCTTCCCTGCCTTGCCATAGGCTGGCTGATGGGCGGTACTCAGAGCTCAGCCTCCTTTGGTGGAGACTCAGTCCAGGCTGGCTTGGGAGCAAGGCCCAGGGAGCCCTGCCCCCACCTTACCTTTCCTGTGCTCCGCCTCCATGCCCCCATCCGGCTTATTCTCCATCACAATCTGCCATTGCCTGTGGCCTGGGTAGCTCCCCTCCCTGAAGCATAATTCTGTGAGGGCAAGACCAAGCCACAAGACACCTTGTTTACTCCTGCATCCAGCATTGTGTCTAAATGTATAGATAATCAATATATATTTGTTGACTGAATGAATGCATCGAGTCTCCCTCTCCCTCCCCCTCCCCCTCTCCCTCCCCCTCCCCCTCTCCCTCTCCCTCTTCCTCTCCCTCTCCCTCTCCTCTCCATATGCATGTAGAGATGGTGGGATGTACATGGGTAAGAAGCTTCTTACAGGGAAAGGGTTCATAGTATAATGCTGATCACTTGCAAATAAAGAAAAGAGAAAAACAATACATTTCTGTGTGTGCTGTGTAAAGGTAACATTAATAGCATAATTAGTGGTCTACCAAATGGTCACATCTGCCTATTCCTCCTGGTAGGATGCCCTCTCATAATAAGCCTGGACATAATGCCTCAAGTACTTGCCCAGCTTCTCTTGCAGCTAAGACAGGCCTGTGGCCCAATCCTGGATGATGGGACCCAAGGAGAACCCTGCCCACGGTTTCTGGGAGAGGGGTTCTCTTTTAATTAAAGAGACACATGAGTGCAAATGCACCTCCTGTTCAGCAGGGTATTGTGTCTACAAGAGATGCCTGTAACAGTAGCTGTCTCATGACCACAGGGGGCAAGCCGATATACTGAGGATGGAGGCTGGGGTGGAAAAATAACAAGAGCTTGGGGTTTTGAGTAGGGAAACCCCCTCTTCTCCTGTCTCTGCTTTACTCTCCTACTACTTCACACTCACACTTCTGACACTAGTGTGTGTGTGCGTTTCCTCACACCAAGCAATTCTCTGTGACAGTGTTAGCGAGGCAGCTAGGTATTAACACAGGAAGGGAGCTGTGGGAATTGGACATCCAGCCTGACAAACCAGGGGCTGTTTGCTTCACTAGAAGTTACAGCTTCGCACACTCCCAGGGCATCCTCCGCCCTCGGGACATATCCCCTGAAGCAGGCAGGGTCACTACTGGTCACCACCTGGGGAAGAAAGATAAGAAGCAAGAGAAATCCTCTGCTGGGCGCATGCCCAGTCCAAGTCAGGTTGGCGCAGGGGGAGGTGCTTCCATGAGGCTTGTTGGTGACCATAATGGGGAGAACCAAGCTTGAGAAAGGAGTTGATTGGATAAGGGACAGAGAAACCACAAAGATCTAGGAAATTGATTGGTTAGGGGCTGGACCCATCAGAAGCCCAGGAAAGACTGGGAAGGTGATTGGTTATTTTGAAAAAGTTCCTGGTCCTTCCCAAGCTCAAGACAATATAACCCAGCTTAACAAAGAGCTCTGGCTCTTTCTCACTTGGTAACACTTGCTCACCCTGTTTGCCCTAGTCTTCTCTCTCCACAGCAGCCGCATGGGCCTAACAGCCTGGGGCCTGGGCTCCCAGCACAAGCCTGGGTACAGCCATGCAGCGCCAGCTGAGCGCAAACTCAGACTAAGCTAGCCGGATGAGGACAGGCATGGACTGAGCCAAAGGTGCAATACATCTGGACTCTGGCCCTGCTTCTGGACCCGATGAAGGCAGGCTGCACTTTTCTCACAACAGGATGGATGAAGATGAGACACTGGGGCCTGTGGGCAGCCTTCTATTTCCACCCCAACAAACGTTACAACTAGACCACATCCTCCCATCACTGAGTCTCCTGGATTGCTTCCCCATGTTCATCGGCAGCATCAATAGCTGAGTGTCCTACAATTTAACTCAATCCTGACACTATCTACCTGGAGATAGCATCAGATCCCACAGGTGAGGGGCCAGTCCCATGAACTCAGGGAAACAGGTTTCCCAGTTTACATAAGTGTATTATGTAAGAAAGGACACAGATGAACAGGCAGATGAAGAGTTATAGAGGGTCCCAGGGACAGGAACTGTGGAGTTGGGGTATGTCACCAATTTGGAAGCTCCCTAAACCCTGTAGTTTTGGGATTTTATGGTGGTTCCTTGTTATCAATTATTAAGTCCATTTCCATTTGGAGACTGGGGATGGCCTAAAATTTCTAAGCTAATCATGGTTTGACCAGCCCCCATCCAGGGGCCAGTCAGGAGTCAGTCACCTCATAGAACAAAAGATGTCCTAGTGCTTTTATCACTGGGAAATCATAGGGTTTCAGGAGCCCTGTGTCAGGAAGATATCCTATATAATAAGAGCCTAATATGCAAATTGTCCCTTCCACTGGGAGTTCAACTAGGGGGGCGGGGCACCAGTGGCGGCAGGAGGCCAGGGAAAGGGAGGTGCCTAGGCCAGCAGTTGCTAGGGACCCTACCTGTGCATGAATTTCATGCACTGGGCCTCTAATATATATATATATATATATATATATATATATATATATATATATATAAAAGAGATGTGGGTACAGGGGATTTAATATATATATTAAAGGCCCAGTGCACAAAATTCATGCACTGGGGGAGGGGGGGGGCAGGGTCCCTCAGCCTGGCCTGCACCCTCTCACAGTCTGGGACCCCTCGGGGGATGTCTGCCTGCCGGCTTAGGCCTACTCCCCCACCCCGAGTATCGGGCCTAAGCCAGCAGTCAGACATCTTCTTGCAGTCTGAGGCTCTCACAGTCCAGGACCCCTCACTCATGACTGCAGCGGAGGTGGGAGAGGCTACCGCCACTGCACTCACCCGCGTTGAGCGTCTGCCCCCTGGTGGTCAGTGCGTGTCATAGCGACTGGTAGTTCGGCTGTTTGGTCGATTTGCATATTAGGGTTTTATTATATAGGCTATATTTCCTGGTATTTCACAGTCTTGATGACCATAATAAGCCAACTTTGCAAAACTCTTTCCTCTGGACTTTTGTTATTTAAAAAAAAACCTGATGAATTATTCAGCCATTTAAATGAACAAATGGCCATTTCTGAGTAGCGCAAGAAAAATTTTGTCTACCATAGACAGAATTTTATAATTTGGGGGAAGCCTTTTAACTCTATGGAAGGGAAGCGAAGTGTTGCCACCTTGAGGCTGCCTTTTTGAGATATTGATGTTAAGCTGTTTATTAAGAAACAAGACTGAGAAAGAACCCTTGACCCTCCCCATTCCTGCCTGAGGTTGAGACGACAAGGCCTGCTCCGGGAGGGAATGTTAGGGTGCTTGCCTTAGCCTAATTGGGATTAAGTATGGTAAATAGAGGGTTCCAGACAGGGACCTGTTGGCTAGAACCCCCGTGTCCACATCTCTGAGTGTCTGGCAAGAATTCCCTGGTCATGCCCGCTCTGCTCTTCCTCAGTCACCTGTAAACCACCCTCTTCATTTCTGAAACCTAAGCCCACCCCCCTCCCCTTCTCCTCTGTCCACACTGTCTCACCATCCTTGGAATTTTCATGCTTATGTGAATGCCCCATGTGCAAGTATTAAAACTTGATTTTCTCCTGTTAACTGGCCTCTGTTAATTTGATTATTAGTCCCTCAGAAGAACTTGGAAGGTAGGAGGAAACGTATTAATATTTTTAGCCTCCACATTATTCATAGACGTCCTTCCTCTGATTTACTTCATATTTTATAATTATTAGCACACATCTTGGAGAGGGGGAGACATTCATTTCTGGGTGTGTGTTTTTCTCATTTTCTGTATTTTTCACAACATCTACAAATTGAATTTCTTGAATGTGTAGAAGGTGCTGGAGACTCTGTGGACCATCAGGCAGGCCAGTGGAGATGGCTGTGCGCCTCAGACACTGCGGGTAAGTGTGGGGCTTTGTAAGTCTTGCTCCGTTAATCCAACTGAGGAGCAGGGAACCTGTGTGCATTGTAAACATCTGCTGCCAAGAGCGGTGGGAGGAGCACGGAGACCACTGTATGAGATGTTGTGAGTGTGGAACATGGACATAGGTGGGAGGATACACATTATGTCAACGCAGGTTCAAAACAGCGTTAATGATGGGCAAGTTCTTCCGATGGCTGTAAATCGCCTTTTCTAAAGACCCTCCCTTAGCATCACATTTTAAAGGGAAATGAACACTCATGAGTTCCAGTGGGATTTCCCGTTTTCTCTGGAATTCCCTCATATCCAAGCGGCCATACTGCTCAAGTCAGGCTATCTCAGTTCAGACACAGAAAAGAATGTGGGCCAAAATCCATTTGTGAATATATCCTTTAGAAAATTGCAGCCATATGTTTGCGGGGATCATTTTCCTATGCACGCAGTACCTAGCTGTGCCCACAAGGTGGCGGGAGTGGCCACTGAATGCAAACCTGGGCCTGAGTGGAAACAGATTTATGGGAAACGTAATCTTTTAGCTCTGCACAGCTCACAATCAATCTGTTGTTTCAAAAATGTGCAATTTCCTAGGTTCTTGAACAGCCTAGTTCTGCTTATTAACATAGGAAGGAGACAGGCTATAAAATGATCTGCAGAAACGAGAGCGTGAGCCCAAGAATGGAGGGCAGCTGAAGGCGACTGGGTGATTAACAGGAGACCAGACAGGGCGGCCTGGGCTCCGGTGCCTCCGGCCTCACCTAAGCCACTCTGCAGCGTCGGCCTCTGTTTTCTCAGATGAAGTAAGGAGAGGGCTGTGTGTGTGGTACCCATCCACTCTCGGATTTCCCTTCCGCCGGAAATCCTCTGATTTATGGTAAGGAGGTTATTTACACAGTCTGATGCGAGGCGAGGGTCTGAACCGATATGGTCTCCGTAGGAAAGGAAAAGAAAATTGTAAAAGATTATTGCTCTAGGATCCTTGAGGATAAATAAGTGTCACGTTTCTTTATTTGTTTAAAGTCAAATCAAACCAGAACTCTGGGAGGCAAGGCGTGGGGAGCTGCAGGAGGCTGCTCTCCTGAGGACCTCTTCCCTGAGGGGGCGGCAGTTAACTTCTCAGGGGTTCCCCCACTTCCCCAGCCTGCTCACTGAATTGCCCTGCGGGAGGGAGATGCCGAGCACAGAAAAACATCCATCATGTTTAGTGGGTGGATGTTTCTGAGCCCGAATGTCAGGGGAGACTTTTGGCATTCTTTTTTTTTTTTAATATATATTTTATTGATTTTTTTACAGAGAGGAAGGGAGAGGGATAGAGAGTTAGAAACATCGATGAGAGAGAAACATCAATCAGCTGCCTCCTGCACATCTCCCACTGGGGATGTGCCCACAACCAAGGTACATGCCCTTGACCAGAATCGAACCTGGGACCTTTCAGTCCACAGGCCAATGCTCTATCCACTGAGCCAAACCGGTGAGGGCAACTTTTGGCATTCTTAATTTCAAACATGGAGACGTGAAAATAAGCTGCACTTGGGGGGAGTTGGGGCATTTTGCTCATTCACTCATTCACTCATTCACTCATTCACTCATTCACTTCCTCTTTTGTTGGAGGAGAGATGAGTGCCAGGCAGCAGGGAGCTGTGATTGCAGGTCTCCTCTTGGACTTTATGGTCAAGTCAAGCCCAGGAGGCAGACAGTGGAGCTAAGGAGCTGGTGATAAGGCGGTGACTCGGCATGTGGGCACACAGTGTGGCAAGTGCCCGAGGCTGCCATGAAAGCTGGGGGTGCTGTAGGGCAGCCCCACGATGTCTCATCTAAACGAACCTTTCCCCAGCGTCTCTGCTTCCTCTTCCCGCTGGTCTCTGACTTGCTTTGCTGCTAAGTGTGTCAGGTGCGTGTTCAGTCACTATCCCCTGCTATCCTCTGTGTCTCGGGCAGGCCACAGGCCCTGGGCTAAAGAGTGAATAAGTCTGTGTTGTACCCACTACCATCATGGAGCTGAATGAAGTCTACCACCCTAGCTAGTGACCTTGGGCAAGTTAACTCATTTCTTTAAGCCTCAGTTTATGCATCTGTATCATGGGAATAATGATACACCCTACTTGTAACAAATCATATAAATATTTGATTTATATGTCCATGTATGCATAATAATATATTAAGTATAAAGTATAAAGCATGGATAATGATATAAATCATATAAATCATATAAATATTATCATAACTGTAATAAATTTTAAGTGCTTAGCACAGCAATTAAAGCAATACTTGCTACCCGTTACGGTAATTATTAATTTTTCAAGAGCTCAAGTCTATTTGAGGAGGCAAGCTGATAACTGGGTGCTAGTATACACTGCTGGAGAGGAGGTAGGTATAAAAGGATCGGGCACCTGGGATAGAATTCAGGGGCCGCTTTGAGAAGGAAATGACTCTTGAATTATTTTAGGAATTTGCCCGACACCTCATCTGCCATAAAAAAGAGAGAGAGAAAGGAAAGGAGGCGAGATGGTCAGGGAAGGAGTGTCCCTTCTTCACAGAAGGAATAGCCAGGCCAGGGCTGGGAGGCCAGCTGTCTTCTCTGCGTGCTCAGGCATTGAAATAACCAAGCAGCAGGGCACCTCACTGTCCCATGGCTCCATGTACACGAAGGCTGTGGGGCGGAGCCCAGGGCGTGTGAGGACAAACACTCAGGTCTGTGCTGGCTACGGGAGGATGGGCTGACTTCTGTGTCCACATGAAGCCATGCAGCCGGTTCCACTGACTTTCCACCGGTTAATGATGTTTGGACACCGGAGAGAAACAACCTAAAAGAGATGGATGGCAGTTGCTCTCTGCATTGTCTCAGGGCCGTGGCTGCTGCCTGTGCAGGGCCGTGGCTGGGAGGGACGGAGAGGTCTGCAAATGGGGGGCGGGGGAGCACGGGATTGGGAGCAGAGAGAAGCCAGAGCGACTCCTGGGCTTGGGGAGTCCCTGTGCTTGAGGCTTCCCGGCCAGATTAAATCGTGAGGCGAGGCCATCTGCCCTCAGTGCCTCTTGAAAGTCTGCCGTTTCACTTTGTGTCTAGTGGCTGCCAGTGTGATCAGCATCATGTGTGGCTGTAGTAGGATATGGAGGCAGCATCTTTCTAAATAGTTAACTTTTTCTTTCAAATTCCTGCAGAATGAACTCATCAGAGCTGCTGTCACACTTTACCGGCTGGTGACTGCCCCCAGGAGACCCCAGCTGGCCCTGCTCCCCCACGGCTGCCCATGGTGCTCATGGTCCATTCAACCTGCTCTCCACTTTTCAAGTCCTGCTGGTCACCAGTAATGCGGAGAGAGAAGAGGCATGGGGGACCTTTCTGGACAAAACTTCATCTCCCCAAATAGATGGTGGTTTGGGAGGCAACGGACATGCCCACAGCCTGGGCACAGGGCTCCTCTGTGGGCACCGCCCTGTGTCCTGAGCCTCAGCTCTAACTTGCAAGAGATCAGCGTCCTTAACCAATCAGGAACTAATTAACTTCTAACTGCAACTGTGGAGGCTAAAAAGTATTAATACTTTCCCTTCCACCTTCTAAGTTCTGGGTGGGCTAATCATCCAATTAACAGAGACAGATGAACAGAAGGAAGGTAAAGTTTTCATCCATGCACATGGGCAATTCACATAGGCATGAAAATTCCAGAGATAGAGAGGCAACATGGGTATCTGTGACATTTTTGGAGAAAGGGGGGAAGGGGCATTAGATTTCGGGAGTGAGCATGGGATTTACATGTAGTCGAGAAGAGCAGAACACACGTGCAGGGAAATTCTTGCCAGTGACTCAGAGACAATGGGCACAGGGACCTGGCGAATGGGAAGGATTTGAGGTGACTGAGCCGAGGCTCCCTTCAACGCAGGGCTCTCCGTCTGCCTCTCCTGGCAGGACAGGGGGAGGGCCAGCAGTTCTTCCTAAATCTTTTGTTTCTTAATAAACAGCTCGAAATCAATATCCCAAAGGCACCTTCACGGGGGCCAAATTTTGGTTCCCTTCCCAAACATGTTACATGTGACTGGCAGGAGGCGTGGAGCGATGCAGAAACACCAAAGGGCAAGGTAAATAGACTGGCCAGCCCAGGGGTGGGCAAACTGTTTGACTCGAGGGCCACAATGGGTTCTTAAACTGGACCGGAGGGCCGGAACAAAAGCATGGATGGAGTGTTTGTGTGAACTAATATAAATTCAAAGTAAACATCATTACATAAAAGGGTACGGTCTTTTTTTTTTTTTAGTTTTATTCATTTCAAACAGGCCGGGTCCGGCCCGAGGGCCGAAGTTTGCCCACGGCTGGGCCAGCCTGTCATCCAGGAATGGCCGCTGTTAACCTTTGCTAATATTTCTTCCCAGTTCATTTCATGGAATGTGTTTAGAGCTGTTTGGAATTTTTCCACACAAATGATTTTTATGATTCCATTTGTGTTTAATTTCATCTTATTTATGAATCCTTCAATATATTTTGTATATTAAAGTATTCATTCTATTAGATTATAAAAATAATCTACTATGTTCATTGTGAAATGTTTAGACTTAAGGTCTATCTGTCCTTGTAAAAAGTTTCTATACCTTTTAAGCCCTCGGACACATAGAAAATAATGAAAAACCTTCCAATTCTGAGAAGTTAGCAGAGCACAGGTAAGGAGTGTATAAAAACAGAACGCTGTACACGAAAGTCCTTCATGCAGAAATGTGAGAACAAAATCCTAAGAACAATATTAGCAATAGAATCAGTATCATCCAAGGAGACGATGCCTGTTCTGACGGGGGAAGTGGTGTTCTCTCTGAGTCACGGGAAAGCACCCCAGGGACCCACGCATGGAGGCTGTGGAGCCGCACAGGCTGCCCTGGGTCCTGCTCCTCCTGTTGAGGAAAAGGTGCAGCCTTGTCTGCCTCAAGCCCAGACATAGGGCCAGAGTCCAGAGAGCCTGTACCGTGGGTGTAGGCCACATCCGTCCCCATTCCCGGCTTGGCTGGTGGGTGGGTAGTCATTCCCGCTGGGCCCTCGGTGGCTGTCCGGGCCCCTGGCTGTGAAGGGAGAACACTGGGAGTGAGCATGCATTATGGAGACGAGGGCTCTTTGTTAAGCTGGGATTATATTATCTCGGGCTTGGGAAGGACCAGGCACCCTTTCAAACTACCCAGTCACCTTTCCCATCTTTCCCAGGCTTCTGAGGGCCCAGTCCTAGCCAGTCCATTTCCTATATCTTCTGGGATTCTGTATCCCCTGTCCAATCCGATCCTTTTCCCAGGCTAGACAGACAGGCCTCATAGTAGAAGCACCGCCCCCAGCGCCATCCTGACTTGGACTGGGCATGAGCCCAGCAGAGGAATTTCTCTACTTATCTTTCTTCCCCAGGTGATGACCTGCCTGCCTTGGGGGATTAGGTCCCCGAGGGCGGAGGATGCCCTGGGGGGTGTGAAGCTGTAACTCCTAGTGAAGCAGACAGGCTTATTGTCCCATTCAGTGCCCTGGCTTCTTAGGCTTAATGTCTGGTTCCTGTGGCTCCCTCCTGTATTAATATCTCACTACCCACACTAACACCTTGAAGATGTGGGGCTTTATTTTTGTTTTGTCCAGAAACCCAGGGATGATTTAGTCTTAGAAATAAAATAGTAATGACTACATTAATAGTTTAGAAGAAACGACCATAACAAAATCTTGACATTACTAAAGTAGTTTGGAAATATTCCTGGAAAAAAGAAGACTACTTGGTAAACTGGCAACTACAAGGCAATTCCTAAGACAAAGAACATCTTTCTGAAGCCACAGGGCAAAACACCAAAGGCATCTGCCCCAGGTGCATTACAAACCAGGATGTCTGCAGTCCTCCTGACAGCCCAGCCCACAGAAATGCACAGATTTCAATCTTCTTACTATCCACCAGCAACAACCAACTGGAAGTTAAATTAAAAAAAAGTATCAACAAAATGCAGGAAACATCTATGTATATATGAAGAAAACTTCAAAATTTACTGAGATGTCTACGCAGGACTTCAAATGCATGGAGTAGATTTTCACCTGTTATCCTACACAGAAAGACTAACCATGATAAAGACGTCAGTTATCTCCTCAATCCTATATAATAAAGAGGTAATATGCAAATTAACTCTCACACCCTCACAAGATGGCTGCCTATGACCAGGGGGGCAGTTAGGGGCAACCAGGCCAGTAGAGGAGGGCAGTTGGGGGTGACCAGGTCAGCGGGGAGGGGCAGTTAGGGGTGATCAGGCTGGCACACAGAGGCAGTGAGGGGTGACCAGGCAGGCAGGTGAGCAATTAGGAGCCAGTGGTCCAGGATTGTGAGAGGGATGTCCAACTGCTGGTTTAGGCCCAAACCTGCAGTCAGACATCCCCTCAGGGGTCCCAATTTGGAGAGGGTGCAGTCTGGGCTGAGGGAACCCTCCGCCCCCATGCACGAATTTTGTGCGCCAGGCCTCTAGTTGATCTATAAATTCTTACAGATTTTTTTGACATAAAATTGGTCATTTTGTTATTAAAAAACATGCCTATTGTTCAGAGCCTCAAACAATATGTAAAACTATAAGGAAGAAAGTAGAATTAGTAAAAAAAAAATCTTACAAGAATAGAGAATACTTCTGACAATATTTGCTGAAAAATAATTTTGAAACATATGTATACATAATATGGCAGAATAACAAGGCAAGATGACACACATTTCATTCTTGGCCAATGGCCTCTACCCTACTCCAGGGAAGGGAAGGTCTCTGAAGCCTTCCCATCCGGGCAGCAGAGGGCTGGTTCTCCAAGGCAGAGCTCAGGGAGGGCAGGAAGCTGCCCTGGAGGGGGTGGGGCATTGCAGGCCAGAGGGAGCCTCACTTGGGTGGAGGTAGAAGTCCACGTGGGCTGCCCTGTGGAGTTGCCTGTCTCCATGCAATTCACAGGCGTTCACATTCTCTTCTCTGGGCTGGATTGTTAGAATATTCAGAGGCATGACTGTTCCTTCAGGTTGTATTGAACTGAGCTGTAAAGTCATCTAAAACTGCCCCATTTCTGCAGTGGCCGCTCCAACTGGTTGATTGCCTTGCCAACTGGTTCTCTGGGATGAGCTGTTCCTGTTTTCTCCCTCTTGTGAATTTTTTTAGTTTATTTCTCACTCTTGTTGGGTTTATTTTATGAGTTTGTTTTCAGTAGGAAATCTATTTTTCTAGATTTTAAACATCTTTACAGGTTGCACACACGTACCTATTCCTTAGTAAATGAAGAAGGGAAATTGCTGGGTCAGTCAGGTGTTTTTGTTTGGAATCCTCACTGAGGATGTTTTTATTGATTTTTAGAGAGTAAGGGAGAGAGAGAGAAACATCAATGTGAGAAACTGATCTGTTGCCTCCTACATGCACCCCAACTAGAGATCGAACCCACGACCTAGGTAGGTGCCCTGACCAGGAATCGAGCTGGCAACCTTTTGTGTGGAGACGATGCTCCAACCAACTCAACCACCCATCCAGGGCTGTGTTGGTTTTTAAACATTGAAACACATGGTGAAGGCCACAGCAGAAAAGTTTTGTCCATTTTTTAATACCACTGTGGAAGCTAAAAATAACCCATACGTTTCTTTTTATCTTCTAAGTTTTTCTAGCTGAGCTAATAGATTAACAGAGACAGATTAACACATGCACATGGGGACTTCACATGGCATGAAAATTCCAAAGACAGCGAGGCACCATTGGGCATATGTCCAACAGTGTGGACAAGGGAGAAGGGGGGTGAATTAGAATGAGCCAGTTTCAGGGAGTTGAGGATGAGCAGACCACACATGGCTGGAAACCCTCACTAGACACTCAGGACTGTGCCCGAAGGCCTCCTAGTTCCCACTTAATTCAAACTTGGGGCCAGTGTCCTGCCAGTGTTGCTCAGTGGTTGAACATTAACCTATGAACCAGGAGGTCATGGTTCAATTCTGTGTAGGGACACATGCCCCGGTTGCGAGCTTGATCCCCAGCAGGGGGGGTGCAGGAGGCAGCCAATCAATGATTCTCATCATTGATGTTTCTATCTCTCCCTCTCTCTTCCTCTTTAAAATCAATAAAAAATGTATATTTTTTAAAGTTGGGGGCTAGTAAAAGGTTCGTTCTGAGTCTTGTGTTTCTTAATAAACAGCTTAAAATCAATATCCGAAAAGGCAGCTTCAGGGTGGCAAAACTTTGGTTCCCTTCATCACCAACAGAGAGAATGTCTTTTGATCAGAGTATTTGTATCCTTCCCGATGGGATAGACAACAGAAGTGCAATAATCCCTTATTTTCCTTTGCATTCTTTGATTGTTTCCTCAAGCAGCTAGCCAAGTTTTAATACAGCATTCCTGAAAGTCTGTTCTTTGTAAATCACTGAAAGTTTATGTGTATCACTCACTCAATTTGTGTGTCTTCTGCCATTCAGAGTATTTGGAGTTGTCTATTCTTCTTTACCCACTGCCTATTCATTCTGCCCATAGCACATTGATTCTAACTATTTTCAGTACACTTTCATTTCTGGTGAAGTTCCCTCCAGTATTATTCTTTTAAAGTCTCTTCCACCTGCATATCTATTCTTCTGGTGACCTTCCCAATTTTGTTGAAGCTCCCTCCCTCACCCTCCCCTTGCAGAAACAGACAAACCAACAAAACAAAACAGAAGTATTGGATTTTAATTAGCAGTGCATTGACTTTATCCAGTTATTTAAGAACTGGAATACTCACGGAATTACCTTCGCACACAAAGTTATGGTATGTTTATGCATATTTTTAAAAATATATTTTTATTGATTTCAGAGAGGAAAGGAGAGGGAGAGAGAGCTAGAAAAATCAATGATGAGAGAGAATCATTTATTGTCTGACTCCTGCATGCTCCACACTGGGGATCGAACCCACAACCCAGGCATGTGCCCATGACTGGAATCAAACGCGGGACCCTTTAGTCCACAGGCTGATGTTCGATCCACTAAGCCAAACCGGCTAGGGCTGTTTATGCATATTTTGATTTTATGTTACTTAATCATCAAATTTTGTAGTTATAAAGTGTTCATAATTTTGTGCACCAATATTAGGGAAGGTGATCTAGTTCTCATATTGTGTG